CAAAAACATTCTGCCAGGTTTCTTATATCTTGCTACACTGCTAGGGGATTTCCACCGTGCACGAGCCTGGATCGTGGTGATGTCTCTGATACGATGCAAGCTATCAGTGGAAGGCCCTGAATGTCTGAGTCCATGCGGTGTCAACTTTAGCCTCCCCAACCCCAGTCCTTCACATGCACGTGAAATGTCAACCGCATATGAGGACATAGTGAGCGCAGGAAAGAGATAAGACTCTTTGGTGGCAGTTTTGTTGTACAAGCTTTTCAGGACAATTTGTACATCACTGCGGCATACTGTATCAAGTAGAACACAATCGTCATATGTGCCAGTCTTGGTTGGGACTTCATCTTCTTGCTGTGCTAGAACGACTCCCCCGTATTTTGATCGTGAAGAGACTGGTTTTAAAACAGCCTTTTTTCGAAGACCCAGAATTTCGTGCGGCCGCAAGTAAAGGTCACCCTGGAGGATGATGGCCCCTGCTGACATCTTTGCTCCATTGTCCAAACACTTTGCAGCAATGACATCCCAGATTTGGAGGTCAAGAGCTGCTCTTGAGTGAGTGGGGAATCTAGCTGTCCACCCTTTCAGTGCTGCCTCTGCTTGAGGGAGCAAAAATTTTCAGGTTGTTGAGGTTCACAGCGAAAAAGGATAAACCCAAAGACTGTGCTCCGCGCATCTGTAATGGATCTGCCTTCTTCACAGAGTTTGTGGAGGAACTCAACTATAGTCCGTCAGCTAAGCGGGACCCCAGAGACTTGCGTTTCCTCTCTGCCCGCATCTCCAACTCCGCCACTGCTTGCTTGTAGCGCCCAAGCGTGATGGGCTTCACTTGTGAGGCCCTGAGCCGCTTGTGCGGTGGCACCTGGATGGTCAATGACAAGTCACGCCTATGGCGTGATCCTTGACCACGCACTGGCAAACTTGGTACGGAGTCTCCGTTGTCTCTCTTGCTTTTTACTCCTAACTGCTGCCGAGTCTTGGCCGAAGATGATGCTGGATTGGAACTGTGGTACATCTTTGTGGATGGCTCCCGTGAACCTGAGTGAGGAGGCCACCTTGTCTTCACTGATTTTCTCAAGGTTGTGGGCGAACTCTTGACGAGCTGCCAGACAATTTTCTTCATGGCTACATTTACCCAAACGCCGTGAGACTATCGATGCTCACTCTTCAGCCAAAACTTCAGGGTGTGCACCAGCTAATTCAGTCCGGTTAACAAAACCAACCTTTACACCCCTTTGGACTTTCACCTTGCCTGCTGAAACTTCACGATGTCGTCGGTGGCAACAAACGCGACTGAGACCGCAGAGTTCGACAATATTTGTAAGAATACGAATCATCTTTTTGTAAGGCGCTCCAAAGGCGCACATGGGGAACATATAGAATAAGTGTCAGGCCGTTGTGAAAGGAATTGTATAGGCAAAAGCTCCCATAGCATGGATGATTGTGGGTTTTCAATACTCCAAAGGATCCCCTGCTCAATGCAAATCTCCACCAGCTTGGCCGTAAGAAAGGCCAACTCACAGCTAACAACTTCCCGCTGTCTTGCTCTTGCCATGTTCTTCAGCCCCTTTCTCGCAAGTGAAAAAACTGCGCAAGGAGTGCCAAAATGAACATATTGAACATGCCCAGATCTAATCAACCTTATCACTTCACCTTGGCAATTACGTTTGGTGAGGTCAAATTGAACCCCCTGTTTAATTGTCTACGTAGGTGGAGCTGACGGTGTGGTGGTCCTCTAATTGTGGAGTGGGGTGGCGTTCTCTGATCACTGTGGGGTCCCCGAGCGCTTTCTCTCACGATGGCCGCTATCCCAGTCTATAGTCATACACGTCGGAAACCTCAAAGCCCAGGTGTCGCCACTCATCATACGCCCGTGGATCATCCAGCACAAACCATGCTGCTGCCTCCTCGAGTCTAAACTGGTAGAAGCAGTCTGACACGTCCAGTTCTCGCGCATAGCTTGATTGACCATGCCGTAGTCTCAATTCTGAAAGACAGCTGGCAGATCCCAAGCGCATCACTGGAGGCTTCCTGTGGTTAAAGTTAGCTTGTCTGCCATCAACTATCAACCGAATTGCATCAGGAGTTTTCTTCTTGACAAAGAAGATGCCAGCTCTAGCTCTGATGACGGGTTGGAGGTCCACCAAGCCAATCTGAAACATTCGTCTCATCAGGTTGACTCGCTCTGTCGGTGAAGATCTCAAAACCGGATCCCAGTAAGGAACTTTTGGCATAGCTCCAGGGTCCATGGTGAGGTCTGCTTCTACCTGAAGTGGATCTCTCTCAACATGTCTGCAAAAGTCAGTGATGAAAGGTTTCACTGACAGGGGCAGAAGGTCGGCCAGGTTCTTAGGTCGAGATGTCATATAGTCAGCCAGGTTGCTGGGCATCTCGTCATGCGAGGAGAGAGACCTTGCCAAATGAGCCAACGAGGTCCGTCCATTGAGACCTTCGGGTGGCCCGCCGCTGTCTTGCACAAGCTGCTGTACATGCTCGATCATCTGCTGCTGTACTTTGGTAGGCAGACGGCAAGGCTGCTGCGACAACTTATCGAATTTGAAACCCGCCAGTTCGTTCAAAGCTTGAAGAGCTCCTGTCACCAGCTTAGGTCCACATGCATTGCGCACTTCGACAGGAAAAGGAGCACCATGCTTGCGAAGCTCCTCCCTGTCCTGAAAGGCGAAAAAATCCTGACCAGGTCCCTGACGCGCACGGGTTTCAAATGCCGTCATCTGTAATGCCTTAAGACCCCCGCCCACCGACCCCGGATTCAATATGCGGACGAACCGCCTGAGGTAGAAGAGCCGAGCACAGGATCAGTGGGTAGGGATGACAGGCAAAGACCAAGTTAAATTCGCCCCAAAAAATACGAAAGAGGTGGGCAGGATGGGGCAACCCACGCAGCTGAGCCAGTGCCTCTAGCTCGCGGCGCCAGCCGCTGTGTCAGGGCTGGCGCGACCGGCTCCACCACCTCGTCCTTTTCGTCCTTTGCCTTTGCCTTTTCCTGGGCTACCTTGCTGGCCAGAAGGCGTGGTCTGTTGTCTGAACTCCTCTCTGTAAAGCCGGGTCTGTTTGGCGACATTGGCTTTGTCTTTCAACTTGGAAGCCAACCATGCATTGAAGACTGAAGTGGTTGCCTCTCCACCACTTCCTACAGGATCTTCCAGTACCAACTCCAACCCAGTGAAATCTGGGCTCTGAGGGTTCCTGACGACTGCGGTCTCAATCTGGACCATTCGCCTGGCCAAAAGTTCAAAGCTAAGGCACCCTTCTATGGAGGCTCGAATCACATTGCATATGATCCGGTGTTCATGAGCTATCATGCTGTGAGGGTTGACACCGCTGTTCTTGGCCCACGAAAGATGATATGTGGCTATGTCTCCTGGTCCAGACCGGATCGCTCTCATCAACTCCAAGAAAACACGGGGTCCCTGGAGGAACCAATCATCAGCTTCCGTTTCTTTCATCAGAGCCATGGCTGTCTTGAAGTCTAGAAATCGTTTCCCTTGTTGGTCTTTGTGGAGTCCCAAGAGTCGTTCATCACCCCTGGAGGGGTCCATCTTCAAAATGATGTCCACTTTCTGAGAAGTCGCAACTCGTTTGACATGGACCTCAACAGCTTCCAGCTCAATGATGCCTGAGTCACCCACAGTAACCCCCGCATGAACAAGGCCCTCCTCAACAGCCTCTCCAAACTTGGGATGAGAAACGTCAGGCACCATCCACTCATAGGTCTCAATACCATCAAGCTGGTCCTCATTGACAAGATTTGCCATTGCCACGGCACGCCTGCGGTACCTCTCCAAATCTGCTCGGCTGAGGTCATCAAAGGCGTAGACATACGGGGCCTGAGCCAATGATGCAGGTCCAACCGTTCGATGTCTCCGTCGGGTGTCAAAGCTATGAATATCCCCGGGGAGATTTTGGTGAGGAGGAGTCTATGGTGCCAATAAAATGCATTGGCGTCATTGGGGTAATGCCTCAGTATCTGCGGCTCTCGAAGGTCTAAGGTCCGCAACGGTTGAGCAGCCATGCTTGGTCGATCGCTTCTGAGCGCTCCTCTTGCGAAGGTCTGAAGGACGAGTGGACCCGTCCGGACAGGTGAGCTTTGACTACTAGGCTTGGAAGATCCTGGAGAACTTTCAACTGATGTTGATTCAACTTGGTCCTGGATCTCAATGGTGCTGAAGAAGGAATAGAACCAACTGGTTGCACTCGCTTGGTCAAAAGAACAATCACCCAAATCAGAAGGAAGGTTTCAGAAAATGCCAAAAGCTTGATCACCAAGGTCAAAAACTGCTATATGTGTTGCAGGCCTCAAGAATAGTGCTAGTCTGGTGCAGTGTTGCCTTGGCCCGTGTGACCTCGGCCCTAAATTCCACCAGTTCCAGCCGAAGAGCCTCCGAAGTGTCAGTGCTGTTCCAGCTTCGAAGCAAGTGCGACGCACCCAGAGCCAGCACCAACACTCGAGGCGAAAGGGTCACCATCCAAATCAAACTGGGACGAGATTTCTTGAGAGTAAAGGATTGAAATGGGGCAGCAATCATTCTGTGATCGATGAGACCCCTTGCAAAGCAGAACTATTTATATACATATATATATATATGTATATACACATAGTATGTACAAATACATATACATAGGGATAGATAATTATAGATATAAATAAATATTGCAATGATCATCAAAATGAATCTACCTGCGTTTCTCTGAGAATACGTTGCCCCATTCCATCCAGCCTTTAGAATTTCATTTCTGGTACTATTGAATGCCAATCATCTGGCTTGTCAATCCCCCATGTTCAGACCGAAGAACGACCCAATAGTCATATCAAATATGGTTCGTAACATACATATTCCCTATCTTGGGTGCCAAAAATAATATCCCCATAAAGTGGTTGGTGTTTACCGTTCATTTCCACAAAAAAAACATGGCCATTTTTTCTCTCGTTCAAAACCTCCCCATCGTTGTAGGGCTAAGCCATGGGATGGCCGAGGGGCCAGAATTTCAGCCTTGATTTGGATTTTCTGAACGCCCACACGGAAGCCAGCCACCACCTTGGACGCTTGGACGCTACACGTGGTGAGCACCAGGAAATCATGGAGAAATCGAGCACAGACATAGCCGCTGTGAAAAATCCCAGATGAATTTAAGGCCATCTTGGTGAAGTGGCACGAAACAAACATCAACGGATTTTGTTTCAAGGAATTGTTACAGGAAACCCGTGGTTGCTCCCAGAAACAAAAGGTCCAAATCCATGCAAGTCCTGTAAACCAATGCTGGCCAAACGAGATCCTGAGACTCCTTGCAGCATCCACTTGTGCTTGCGAGTCCCAAACAAAGGGCAGAATGGTTCTCAGGCCTCACATGCCACTGGATTTCCCACTTCTCCACTGGATGTTTCAAACATTGGATGTGAAAATTCCCGAAAAGATCGGAAAGTTCTGCTACAGTATTGATACAGTAAAGTCTTGTCGTATCTTTGTACTTATATCAACTTATATATCTATTTTTTTGAATGCTACTGTGGGTTACAAATATGTGAAAATGATTTTAAAACAACTCTCAAAGTTGACAGCCGTCTTTCGTGACCATGGAAACCTGTAAAGACTTACCAGGCTCACCCAGCAAAACGCAACCGAAAGACGACCGGGTTGAACGTAAATGAAACCGCCTGTAGCTTCTCCATGCTCGCAAAAAGGGGTACCATCACCCAAATGTTCATTGTTAGACCAATAACCAATAGGGGGTGTTTTATCAGACATCAACTACATTCCCATAAAATGTCGTGACTCTCACAGCCTAAGCTCTACACGGTCCGAAACATCCTGGGCTGAGGTAATACCTTGCGTCTCGATGATCCTGCGATCAAACATGATGTGGGAAAACCTGTATACCTTCCGGTCATCAAACATGGCAATGGGAAATCCCCCGTTAACATGCTTGAATGGCAAAAACACATTTAGAAATGGAGGATTTTCCGTTGCCCGGTTTGATTGCCAAATGGAAACCCACAATACTGATGAACTATGCCAAGTTGTTGCAGTGAAAAAGGGTGGCACTAAACTTTTCCCATGAGTAAATGGCTATTGTTCCCATGATACAATGATTTCCCATATATACATATTATATTGTGTATACTTCAGGAGGAACAAAGTTTATGCTTCTTGAAAGCTTGACAAAGCATCCATCTCGGTCAACCGCGGATCACATTTCCATTTCGTGTGGCAGGACGCTCAATTATCACCCGCTTTTAAATCTATAAGATTAGAAGCTTTTGGGGGGTGGAGATTCGACCGGGGTACGACAAAGCTCCATGCTAGGATTCTAAAGGGAAAGGGTGTGGAGGAAAAGAAACCAAACATGTTCACTGTCTGAAGCTCAACAAGCGCAACTTTTGTCATACCAGTGTATATATATATATATATCCTATAGTTTCCCATATATCCGCCGACCCCGGCCATGGCAAGGGGGAGCGCGTCAGGGCAAAGAGGTTGTGAAACAACTAACAAGCAACAACGAGCAACCAACAGCCGCAGCAGCAGCAGCAACAGTAGCAGCAGCAGCCAAGTTGCAAAGATTTCTAGGGTTTCAGATGCAACGTTAGAGACTTTTTTAGTGGGATTCTCGGACTAGTTCGTCCTTCAGGGCCATGGTGTTTCCCCGTCCGGGAGGGCCGTGTCTTTGTGGGCACAGCAGCAGCAGCAGCAGCAGCAGGACGAAAAAGTAGCTAAAATCACATCATTTTCTATGGGTTTCAGAAGTTACATTAGGGAGTTTGGGGGTGCAATTTTGATGCTTCTCCATCCTTCACTGCCATGGTGTTTTCCCATCCAGCAGCTGTCTTTTGAACAGAAGGAGCAGCAGCAGCAGGAGGACAAAGTAGCTAAAATCACCATTTTCTATGGGTTTCAGAAGTTAGGTTAGGGAGTTTTGGGGTGCAATTTTGATGCTTCTCCGTCCTTCACTGCCATGGTGTTTTCCCATCCAGCAGCTGTCTTTTGAACAGAAGGAGCAGCAGCAGGAGGACAAAGTAGCTAAAATCACCATTTTCTATGGGTTTCAGAAGTTAGGTTAGGGAGTTTTGGGGTGCAATTTTGATGCTTCTCCGTCCTTCACTGCCATGGTGTTTTCCCATCCAGCAGCTGTCTTTTGAACAGAAGGAGCAGCAGCAGGAGGAAAAAGTAGCTAAAATCACATTAGGGATTCAGACAACACGTTAGGCAGTTTTTCTCGTTATGTTTGCGTAAGCACGCTTCTCCACACCCATCACGCAGGTTGCAAAAAATGTTCCTTGTCTAGGGATTCAGACGACACGTTAGGCAGTTTTTCTCATTATGTTTGAGTACGTTTTTGGCTCGAAATTAGGTGGTGTTTCAGCGTTTCGAGTGGTGTCCATCAGCATAGACGACACATTAGGCAGCTTTTCTCGTTATGCTGTGTCCGTCAGCATTGCTTTTGCATGTGTGGCTAAGCAAGCCCCTTCAATGAAGCTTTTCAACAAGTTCAACCCACCACGCAGCTTGCAAAATGTTCCTTGTCTAGTCATGCCTCAAGATGGGCCAACATAGCCCTAAGATGGGCCAACATAGCCCCCAAGATGGGCCAAGCTAGCCCCAAGATGGGCCAACATAGCTCCGAGATGGGCCAACATAGCCCCAAGCTGGGCCAACATAGCCCCAAGATGGACCAACATAGCCCGGAGATGGGCCCACATTGCCGTCACGCTGGGGCAACGTAGCCCCAAGATGGGCCAACATAGCCCCAAGATAGGCCGCCGACCATCAAAATATCCTGCGTTTTACGGTGTTTTTTTGCTGTTCCCATTTTTAAGATCTTTTGGCTCAATCAACCTAGGCCTCAAGATCGGCCAACCTAGGCCCCAAGACGGGCCAACATAGCGCCAAGGTGGGCCAACATAGCCCCAAGATGGACCAACATAGCCTCAAGATGGGGCAGCATAGCCTTAAGATCTTGCTCTCAACATGGGCCCCTGGCCGGCTGTCGCGCGGAAGCGCTTAAATCCGGCCAGGGGCCCCCTGGCCGTGTCCTTGCCGTAGGCGTTTCTCTCCTCTCCGTAGGAGAGAGAGGGGCCGCCGCCCTAGCCGCAGTAGACCGCGTGTCGCCAAAAACTCCTCAAAAAGTCCCGCGTTTTACGGTGTTTTGTGCTCTTCCCTTTTTTCCTATTTTTCGGAACTTGTGGCTCAAGATGGGTCAACATGGGCCAACATAAGCCTCAAGATGGGCAAACATAGCCCCAAGATGGGCCAACCTAGCCCCCAAGATGGGCCAATCTAGCGCCAAAGATGGGCCAACATAGCTCCACGATGGGCCAACATAGCCCCAAGATGGGCCCACATTGCCCTCAAGATAGGCCAACATAGCCCCAAGCTGGGCCAACATAGCCCCAAGATAGGCCGCCGACCATCAAAATATCCTGCGTTTTACAGTGTTTTTTTTTGCTGTTCCCATTTTTCGGATCTTTTGGCTCAACATGGGTCAACATGAGGCCAACATAGGCCAACATAGCCAGGGGAGGCACCTCCAGCTAGGTGCGCAAGTGAGTCGATTTCCAGGTGCGCAAGTGAGTGTAGTGCCTAACATCATTTCCCCTAGATTTCCCAGGGCTTCAGATTCGCAAGCTCCTCATCTGTCCAAACCTTGGTGGTTTTTCTCCAATGCTGAAACTGCGCAAGCCTCAGGAGACTTTCACCAAGACGATGGATGGATAGTTGGTATGTTACTCTCTTAGTTGGGATGTGACTTAAATCTGTTGCTATGTGAGATAGTTACATATAGTTACTATGTTAGCTGGTATGTTAGTTAAAAAGAAAGTTACTATAGTAACTAACAAAAAACACTATGTTAGTAGGAGTTTGCGTTCTGATATTTTGTTACATTGTTGGGAATGGCCAGAGAAACCCCGCCTGCCATTTCCAACTCATGTGGTGGCTAGGAACTGATATTAAACATCCCCGGCAACACTTTGTTCACCTTCGGGATCACTTCATTCACAAAGATGCCTCGCAGACGGGTCAAGACCCAGAGTCTTGAAGTAGTGGTAAACTGTTATTTTTAGCTGGTACTCGAAACAATGGATAGATGATGATAGATGTTCATCATCCCCAATTTTTTCATATGTCATAGGCTTTGATCCATATCCATATGAATAGAAATACGTGTTCACTCTGAAACAAACTTGCCACCCTGCGTGGAAACTGGTCAGTGGCTGCTTTCAACGGCGTCTCATCTTGCTGATGATACTTGGCTGGAAGCCGACAGCTTTCCTGGTAATATCAGGTCGATGGCCATTGAGACCCCCATTGATGCAAAGCTAATCTTAGATACTGCGCTAAAAACAAACATGGACCTCCTTAAACGGAACTGCAGACCCAGAGGTTTCCTAAAATATGGCTACCCCAAAACGGTTTCAATAGGTTTCAATACTAACTCATGGTCAAAATTGGTCGAATGATTTGGACGATTTGGGGTACCCCAATGACTTAGGAAACCTCCATTTGTACATTGCAAAGATCGAATCATTCCATGTACCCAGGGTCAAAAGTGGTTTGGTGGGTGGAATCCTGGAAGTCAGCACAAGTGAGCCGCACAATTCACCGACAAAGCCATGGTAGTAAAAGGCCCTTCACTAAGGCATAGATTCAATGATTATTTCTCCATATTCTGTTAGTTAGATCCACATGTTTGATTCTTTAACCTATAGTCTATAGTAACCCCCGAAAAGATCAAAACATATATTCAAATAAGAAAAAACGCATTTCATAAAGTCGGATTTTATCAACATCTCTCTCTCTCTCTCTCTTTTTTGGGATGACGATACCCCCCACAGCCGGGCCATTGCCTCAAAGCCCCATGCCCGCCTTCGGTCAGCTTGCTGAGCACCGGCCAGAGGCGCTTGGCGAATTCCGTGATGGTCGAAGCCTGGAGTCGATGGTCGGCCAAGAGCCATCGGTCCGGGGAGGTGTTCTGGGGAGTCTTTGATGATGTGGTAGTTGATATGGGAATATCATGATGTATATGTGTTTTAACAGAGATGGCAACAGAGAATGCGATGCGATGTTTGGAGTGTCAAGCAGGGGATTACTGGGGGTTGAAATATAATTGATTTCATTTGCATTATGATTATCAGATGTTTGTCTAATCTTCTTAAAAAATAATCATCTAAACTAAATACATTGTATATATATATAAATTGTATCAGATGAATGGTGTTAAGACATGATCACGGTTTCAAATGGGCCCAAAAATAAACCACAAAACCACCAAAATGATAGCTGAAGGGAACAAATATCTAGCCAATTGATTTCCAAAAAAGGGACGCCACTGGTTTGAAACCCTGCTGATTAGTGGAAATCAAATGGCATATAGAAATGGTATGAATATGCATGGGATCCACATCGCCAGATTAAGTGCACTGTCCTATGTGTCCTATCTACTGTAAGTCATGGGAGACCTCAAAATCATCCAAACTATTGGTCCTGTTGGGAAAACCGCTGGGTTTGGGGTACCTCAACTTTGGAAAAACACATGTTCAGTCGCTGATCATCCGACGATGTTGATCTACAATGTTTAGAAAAACCCAGACCGTCTACGCGGGGTGAGGCTTGATGAAGTATTACAGTCATCGGAGGTCAGAATCATGTTTGATGCAAAATTGGGAAGAGGTTGATAAAATGTAGGTGGAGAATTTGCTGAAGGGTGGAACTTGTTGGAAGGCTTTGAAAGAAATGGAGGGCAGCAAACAGGAAGGCACACACATTGAAGTCCCAAAATCGGTGTGGATGTTGGATTATGATAAACACCTATTTTCCACACTGAGAATGCCGTTTGCAGTTATGCACACATTGGTTCCCAAATACACTAGTGGGCGCTAGTGGATGTGGCGCATGTTTGGCTTTCATATTCCATTTCAGGGGCGCAACAATGAGTGGGAAACTCGTCGTTTTTTCCATTGATTTCATTCGATGGCTTCGTTCAAGTGAAGCATTCTGAAACTTCACAAGAGCTGTAAATCTCCCAGCCAGAAACTGGCTGATTTCTTGTTGATCCCCGAAAACCATCTCAGAAGGGTCGCGAAGGTTGGAGTTCTGGATCTCAAGATTGATTTGAATGGAAACAATTCTAGCAACCCCATGAAGGTGGATGATCGATTCATGGATGGCTTTCGGCACAGAAATCATGGCTCAACATGTTCAAAAGGCACCAGCTGTTCATGTGGTAAACCCAATTTCAGGAAGCAGTCGGGGGGATGGTACGGCTAAAACGGCGGCCCGTGAGGTAAACCCAACAATAGTCACCATGCCCAATTGGAATATCGGATGGGTTGATCATCGATTTCGGTATGAAACGAGTTGAATTTTCAGACAAACCCGCCCTAATATGGTTGGTTATATCTATGGTTGATTAATCCCTTCCCCCTATTACTAAACCCCCCCAAATAATAAAAACTAGGGTCCGTCTACAATTTTGGAAAATTTGAGGTTGGCCAATTTGGTTTTTAATTGATCCCCTTTAGAAACCAATTTAAAAATAAAGCTACTATTTGTGGGTTTCACGCCCTAATAATAAAAACTAGTCAACCCCGGGATGATTTTCATTAGGGTCCGTCCAAAATTGTGTGTTTTTTGATATTAGGGTTGTTAATTTAATATTAGGGGGAAGCTTCGAAATCCAATTGTTGGCAATATTTTAATTGCGTTATAAAAGGATATTTAATTGATGTTGAAATCGGAAAAAACAGGTTTTTTATTAAGGATTTTAATTTATTATTAGGGTCCGCTTCGAAATCCAATTTTTGGCAATATGTTAATTGCGTTTAAAAAGGAAATTTAATTGATTTTGAAATCGAAAAAAATAGCTCTTTTTAATTTAGGGGTTTAATTTAGTATTAGGGTCCGCTTTGGTTCCCTAATAATAAATACCCCCTTAATAATAAAAACATATAAAAACTACGTGAGGTGTTTATTATTTGGGGAGGAGGGCTAGTATTAGGGGCAGAGGATTGTATATGATTAATTATATCGCATATCTCATCATAGATCCCATTTTATTTGTTGCTAGTTATTGCTAGTTGTACCCACGTTATCGTGGTTGATTTCCCACAGTATTAATTGTTGGCTGAGGAACATCCACAATGACCTCGTTGTCCTCTGCCAGCCCCCGTAACCGCTCCACTGGCAGCGACTCCTCACGATGGTATATATGTCCGCCGACCCCAGCCGGAGCAAGAGGGAGTGCGTAAGGGAAGAATAGTTCATGACACCACCACAGCAACAACAACAACAACAGCAACAGCAACAACAACAACAACAGCCAACAGCCAACAGCCAACAGCCAACAGCCAACAACCAACAACCAACAACCACCAACGACCAACCACCAACCACCAACCACCAACAACCAACAATCAACAACCAACAAACACCACCACCACCACCACCACCACCAGCACCACCAGCACCACCAGCACCACCAGCACCACCAGCACCACCACCACCACGACGACGACAATGACGGCAACAGCGACAGCAACAGCAACAGTTAACCTGGGAGGATAGGGAACCGTCATGGCATCGCCAGTGTGCGAAGCTGCAGGAAGGCTGTGCGCAGCAGATCCAGATTCACCCTGCCAAGCTTCGATCTCAAAGGCATCTGGAGAGGACTGGCTACTGCAGCAGGTCCCCATCTTGAAAGCGAACTACGGCAAGAGCATGTGAAGTCAATTTCGCCCCCAGCTATGGCTGGCTGATTTCTGCCCATTGCTGCAGCATTCTGCTTCTGGTCTGCTCATGCAGAATGTGTGATGATACTGTATGGCTGTGTTTGAATCATGTGAGATGTGAGTGGGAACCATTTGCGCTCGAGCTTCATGTCTGCATGGCATTCCACACAAAGCAATGCTCTTGTGTATGAACACATCGCCCCAACAGCTGACCAAGATGAATGAAAGCCCGTAGCTCTTCTAACTGCGCTTGCTACCGGTGAACTGTCCCCTTCAAGCACAGCGGTGAAGCAATCACAAGAATAACAAGGTGGTGCCCCATAGTAGGCTAAGTTGGGTTTTCAGTCGGTTAACTACTCTACGATTCTTGGTAGATATCTCTAATAGCTCTACTACGGGTTACCGTTTTGTCAATTAGATTTATGAACCAAGAAACACCACTTGGGGACATCTGAAGATCCCAATCGCACCTGGAGGCTGTTCATGTCACTGGCCTCGGGTGGATCTCTGAAAAAGGAGCTGTCCCAGGCCGAAAAATCCGTGCACATTTCTTGTCATCATCGATTCCACCTTGATGGATATGATATGTCATGGAGAACTGTTCTCAGCGAGGTCAACCTTTGTTGGGGTCATTTGTCCCGCCATCGGCAGCCTGCGAAAGGCAACTTTGCCGCTTGCTTTGATCCGTCAGGGCCATTGGGCGCAGCCCCACCTGGCGTATGGGACATCAATGAGTCGGCGAATTTCTACGTGGCTTGGAACGGTGTCTTGGAGCAAATGATTTTGCCGATGTTGCTGGATTTTCCATGATTTTCCATGGGTCGAAGTATCAACGGGTCAGGACAGGGAAACAACTTCAGAGCCAGAATTTCTCCTAGCTGGGAGTTGCTATCAGCTGTTCATTTCGTCGTGTCTGTTTTTGAACACTGAAAAGACACCAAGACTGCCACCACAGGACCATTGGTTTAGTATGGGAGCGGGTCAAGTCATTTGGAGCCAATAATGGTGTGGTTTTCTAAAAATCACGACCTGCGGTTGGGCCTGAGATTTTCACCGAAAACATACCTTTGAACTGTGGCTATCTCTTTGGTTCTTGTCCCTTGCGTGGTATCCCAAAAAAATAGTTACAGTACAGTATCTTACAGTAATAATAACGTAGATTCAATAACAATGCATCCCCAATCGGTAATGATTGGGTCAAGCTTGGCGACTGAAAAATGCTTTGAAATGACCCCCCCAAGTCTGTCCAGTACTGGGATGGTTGATTGGCTACGATATTTACCACATGACTCATCCCATCCCTTTAACATGAAACACGGCCCCAGAAAGCCTGTGCAAAGAAGTCACTGCAAGGGTGCAAACCTCTGGCAGGTTTTTTTCGCCAGCACCCGTTGCAATTTCGGCAATGGCAAACCCCAAAACCGTTGAAAAATTGACCCTCCAGTCAACCAACCTGGAGACTCGAAAAGAGACATGTATTATTTGTAGATCATGTTCCTTGAACCGTATAGATTATAGATTTTCCATATCTCCCTCAATTTACTGCGTCATACAAGTATGTTAAGTGATTTCTATGTGTGGTTTTCAGATCCCCAAATGGGTTCCACCATGCCTCCCAGCGGATACTCAGCATAGAAGGTCAAGGAATAAGTGCCTGGACAGAGAGCATGGAAATGTATCGGAAAATTCTGCAGGAAACTCAGAAAACCATGGTACCATTGCCCAGATGTACCAGCTTGGTGTAAATCTTCCTTTCAAGCAATTCTAGGATGGAAGTACAGGAACAAAATGAATAGAAAAACACAATATGAAAAAGACTTGGTTTGACCTCCAACCCACAAACCGCAAGGAATGTTCGATCAGTTGCCTCATTCCAAGCTCTTCCAGGACGGCGCCTGGCTGGAGAAGGCAGAAAACACTTTGACGTGGAACTGGTCCAGGATGTTTGATGCTCTTGCACCTTGGGCGATTGGTGGTGCTCGGCGCAACAGCCCTGTGACTCATCAATCTCTAAAATAGGCAAGGTCAGTTGGATTCATCATCCCATTGTTTGGAGATGGAAAAATAATAAATAACAACCCTAGGGAACCACAGATTTTAGTACTATTCTAAGTTTCAAATATCTAATGATTGAGGAACTTCGGCCCCCGACACTTGTTGCTTCTCCTGACCTCGGAAACTGGTGCACTAGTTGGTGGGCACTGGAAGTGGCCCAGCCTAGAGGTACCTGTGGCACATGGAAGATGACCTCCAAAATCTCTTGAGAAATGGATTCATCAATGGATGAATCATCCCAAGTGACTATAAGATCCCAATGCCAAGTTACACTGATAAGTGGATAAATCATGATACATCCATGATAAATGATCCCAAGCCCAAAATCTCTCGAAGTCCAGATCCTCCCCACCTTGGACAGTGAGCTTCAAGTGGATGTCCACCCCATCGGAGTGGTGAGTGGTGGCGCGAAAGACGCAGGCCTCCGAAACCTGGAAGTTTTTAGGGCTAGCCGAACTGGTGGAAATGCCATGAAATCTTGGCAGATACGAGTGGATGTTGATGGATAAACCAGGAAAAAGAGTGAAAAAAACTGCAAGGATGAAAAACTTTGGGTGATCAACTTCTATGTAATCCCCCTAGACTCACGAGAATCTTCAGATATCTGCAGATGCCTCCAGGGTGATCTCATGCTCCATGTCTTCTACCTGACATGTTGGGGGCTCATGATCAGGCAGCTTCCAGCAACTGCAGATCAGACAAGGCGGGGCCCTGTGGTGAACGTCACAATGGCTGGATGCTCCCGTTATCTTTCGACCAATCCCAAGGATTCCCCTGCCGATGCAGGAAAGCCCAACTGCAGCCTCTTCTGGTGGAAAACCAAAGCGGTCTCGAACCCAAATGCCTGGCTGCTTCGCGACAGCCCTCGATCCCAAACTAATATGATTCATGTGATTCTCCAAGTCCCTCTCGTAACATGTCAAGTTTCGTCTCAAAATAGGGGTACACCATTCCATCCGCTGGTCCAACATTATTTTCAGCATAAAAGGAACTGTTTTATGGGTTTACCCCATTCGGACACATCCATATGCTTCAAGTTCCTGTCATACCATGTCGATCTCAAAAAAAAACACGCTGCCGACTCAACCATTGCCAGAGCAGCTTCTTCCGTAGATGTATTCTGCCCCGGCAGTGCCCAACTGGCAGATGGAGGGACAAGCAACAGCTGAACTACCGGCGTCCAAGATGCAGATGGATCCTATATCCGTAATGAAAAAAAGAAGCTTCGCTCGGCCCAGAAACATGATGTTCCGAACGACCATGCCAAGACCACGACTGGATGATTTGGATTTGCATCCCAAGTACTAAGTGGTAGCAATAACCATAAAAATCCGCCCGCACCGAAGGTGCTGGGGCGTGATCGTCCGGATGGCACTCGTAAAAGGTTACAGGTTTACCTGGGGGGGGGGGCATTTTTCGGCCAAAACCTCCTGTTTTTGATAGGTCGTGACGCTCGCCTTCAAAAAACACTGTAAAAAACAGTACGGAAGACACCTGTTCGTGAACGCGCCCGTCCAAAATCGGCAAGCGAAAAGTGAAAAAACCCGTGTTTTTCAACTTTTTGACCTCAATTTTTTGGTTTGCAACATCTTTTTTTGCGGTTCCGCAGGTGGCCTGGCCCGGAGGCGGATTTTTGAGTTTTTGGACCCGTTTTCGGACTGATTTTCGTCGTTTTGTGATAGCAGAAACACTGGTTTTTACAGTGTTTTTCTGTTTTCTGCATGCTTGACGGCTAGCTTCAAAACTTCCAAAAACCTCGTAAATTACGCTGTTTTATGTTACGGTGTGAATGAAAACATCGTAAATACCAGTGTTTTTTGACGTTGGTTAAAAAAACACTGTAAATTACAGTGTTTTTGGCCACCTGAGCCTCAAAAACCATGGTATTTGCAGTGGTTTCTGCTTCTCACCGCGCAAAAACACTGTAAATAACAGCAATTTCGCCGTTTTTTCATGTTTTTCGTTATTTTTTGAACTGCGTTGGTCCGCTATACATGGCTATCAAATTCTTCGCGTTTTTTTTTCCGACAATCAGTACTTTCGGATGTTTTTGGTCTCAATGGCCGACATCATTGGCAGTTTTCTTACGATGCGGTGCGGGCGGTTGCCGTCGCGAAGCGACGTGAATAATTGTATTAATAACCCACTTCTACTTATATGTAGCTTTATGTAATGCGTATGTATATACATCTATATATATATACATACATACATAGATAGATAGATAGATAGATAGATATAGATATAGATAGATATAGATAGATATAGATAGATATAGATAGATATAGATAGATATAGATAGATATAGATAGATATAGATAGATATAGATAGATATAGATAAATATAGATATACTGCCGGCAGATGACTTAGGCCCAAGAGGGCCCAATGACATAAGAAGAACTATATGAAAGTGGCCTAAGTCATGTACGGGGAAGGAACCACAACGGGCCAGAACAAGAACAAACAACGGGAGGGAAACAACGGGAAAATGAGAAATGTCACATTTATATTTTTTTGTTTGAAAGAATAAAAATATTCATTCCATTATGTTTTTTATCTGAAAAATATTCTCACATTCTGGTTTATTTTACAACATTTTCTAAATTTGTTTCAATTGCAAAAGTGTGTAATAATGCTTTAAAACAATCGAGTGAAAAAAAAAAAACACCAAATAAACATGCCAGCGTGTCCTGCAGTGCAGGAGCCAATCAGCCAATCACTTCTTTCAAGCAAAATAGCTGCAGTTATCATGACTTAGGAACTGCCCACTATTTCCTAATGCCTTATATCCTTGCAAAACTTGTTTAAAAATAACATGTTTTCTATGGTTTGTTGTGATGACATAGGAGTAAGGGACCCAGACCACCAAGGGTATGTTTGCTCATGACATAGGAGTATGATTTTCGAGAGTATGTCCGCATCTGACTAAGTCATTTGCGGGTAGTATAGATATAGACAGATATAGATAGATATAGATAGATATAGATAGATATAGATAGATATAGATACATTTACATAGATATAGATAGATATAGATAGATATAGATAGATATAGATAGATATAGATAGATATAGATAGATATAGATAGATATAGATAGATATAGATAGATATAGATAGATATAGATAGATATAGATAGATAGATAGATAGATAGATAGATAGATATAGATAGATATAGATAGATATAGATAGATATAGATAGATATAGATAGATAGAGATAGATATAGATAGATATAGAGATAGATAGAGATATAGATAGATAGATAGATAGATAGATAGATAGATAGAGATAGATAGAGATAGATTGAGATAGATAGAGATAGATTGAGATAGATAGAGATAGATTGAGATAGATAGAGATAGATAGAGATAGATAGAGATAGATAGATAGATAGATAGATAGATAGAGAGATAGATAGAGATAGATAGAGATAGAGAGATAGATAGAGATAGATAGAGATAGATAGAGATAGATAGATAGATAGAGATAGATAGAGATAGATAGAGATAGATAGAGATAGATAGAGATAGATAGAGATAGATAGAGATAGATAGAGATAGATAGAGATAGATAGAGATAGATAGAGATAGACAGAGATAGATAGATAGGATAGACAGAGATAGATAGATAGATAGATTAGATAGATAGCAAAATAGATAGATACATAGGATAGATACATAAAGATAGATACATAGAGTTAGATACATAGATAGATACACAGAGATAGATACTTAGAGATAGATACATAGAGATAGATACATAGAGATAAAGATAGAGATATAGATATAGATATAGATCGATCGATCGATAGATAGATATATAGATGTGCGAGATGATGGGAGTAACAGTATATGTGTGATATACCGATATACCACAGTTGATCCCAGTTGTATATGGGTTATCAACACTGGGACGCACCCCCAAACTACCTCAACCTACCATTTCCAGCCTTCTCAGTTGAAAGCTTGTTGGGTGATTGGACGATTCTCCGGGGCAACCGTGCGAACCTGAGCTGTCACATGGTCCACCCTCAAATCTCCAAATCCACCAGTTTCCCTCCCAAAATTCGCCATGTCATGTGTTAAAGGTGCCGACCACATCAAGTTCCGACCGACCACATCGACCCGGTCTGGGAAGCCCCAACTCACACATCCAAGCCGCAGGGCCTACCTGTGATTGAAGCACGTTGAGGGTACATTTCCCATGAAATTGAAGCCCAACGAACTCATTTCGGATATGTATGATATGATGGCCTGTTGGGTGAGAATAATTTTGGCAACAATTAAGTGATCGCCCTTGCTTGTTCAAGAATACTGTATCACTTGCTTTTTCGCGAGTTGATCACTATTTGACCACTGCAAAAGTGATGTTTGATGCTGCCAAAATGGGAAAGATAAGGACCCATACAAATAGGAAATTTGTCATAGATCCCCTTCAAAGTTCTTGCATGGTGGCTTTGAAGATGTCCAACGCCAAACAAATGCTGGGTAAATGTGGTGGAAGCTTGGCAATTTACGCTTTCGGCGAAAATTTTTGGGAGGGCAACTTCTTTTCTTCGGCATCTTATGATCTGCTTTTGATACTTCGTGTGAATAGTGTACATACCTGAAGGCCAAACTCTGGTTGTCAATGCATGTGCAGCAGAAGGATGCAGAACATATATTCCCCCGAAATTCCTGATTTCTCTCCACACCTCACCCCATATACCAGGAATGAAATTGGGTAAACACCAAGAGGTTGAATCAAATCCTCCACAGCCACCTTGTGCTTCTACTTTCACCACAACTACTTGGGTTTGTCCAGAATTTAGCCCCAAAATTGCAATCTTAAGATCATCTTAATGAGAAAACCAATGGAAATATTGATAAATTGCTGGCTTTGGGAATACCCCATTTTTTCCAAGCAAAAAAACTATTCTCAGTGGCTGGTGAGTTTGCCGAAGATCCTCGGGCCTCGAAAGGTGTGAGTTTGGCTTCGAACTTCACGCTGTACTCAAAGTCGAAGTCCAAGCAATGCCGCGCCCTGGTCATAACCCCAGTGACAGCAGTGAACACCATCCAGACATCCCAGAGCCTCCGGAACCAGCCCAAAAATTGCACTGGAAACTGTACCGAACCTTTATCTGGGCTGACACTTGGGGGGAGATGATGGGAAGATGTTCATCACAGAATGATGATGGAAAGAAGTTTCACGATTTTTCTATGTTTCTGTACCCTGTGTCTAGTAGGAATGTTGAAGTGGAAAATAATCCACTGCAGAAATGGATAGAAATGAGGAACTTCACCAGTCCTGACTACCGGAGGCCAGAGTTTTTCCTTTGGATCATATCCACAAGATGGACGGACCCTGAGGGGCTTCCAGTTGGTTGCAGATCAAGGATGCAGTCCTACCCAAGGTCTGCCGTACAGGACCTGAAAATATGTAGTGAGCAGAAAGAAGGCGCCTCTGTGGGATCAAACAGACTAATTTCAAGTCAAAAACAGAAACATGAAAGGCCACGGATGATAAGGTTGATAAGATAAGGTTGATAAGGACCACCAAGGGAAAAGAGTTTCATCTGCCAAACTGATTGGACCCGAGAACCTGACTCCCCCAGCCGCCAAGCTGGTTGCCAAGCGACTTGTCCGGCAGAACTTCTCTCCATTCACTCATGCTGGCTGCCAAGAGCCATAACCTCGGCCCGTGGCCCCCGCGTTCTCACCAGATCATGTGGAAAGGTGAATGACTGGGTGGTGCTTGGGCCAACCCCTCCGCAAAAATATGCGCTGTTTGGGGATCAGCATTCCAGTTATGGATATATATACATCTCAAAGTGTCATATGAAACAGATACTGTCTCGCGCTCCCGCAGCTTTCTTTTTCCACAGCTATGCCTATGCTCAGTCAATTTCACCTGCAATCCTCAGGTTTGCTTTGGGTTGTCACGATGTGACACGTACATAGCCCCAGACCAGTTTCGCCACTGGTCAGCTGCCTGGCAACCCAGGCTGGAACCTGCTCTGCAGGAATCACCCATCCCTTAACCTAAGGGAGGGAAGTCTCTCTTGGTCGCCCCAAGAGAGGATCCCCGATAGAGGCTATGTACTCGCCTGCCGTGCAGGCTCCCCTAACCTAGGCGGACATCTCCACGGGAGGTCGGCTCTTAGGGTTGGGAGGGTGGGGAAAGAAAACAGCAATGAATGCTATTTTGGTTCAAGTTTACTTGAGCCAAAATGGTAGCATTCATTGAAACACTTAAAGATGATACATGCACACCCAAGCCTGCCAAACTCAATGCATGGGTACATCTCAAAGTGTCATATGAAACAGATACTGTCTCGCGCTCCCGCAGCTTTCTTTTTCCACAGCTATGCCTATGCTCAGTCAATTTCACTTGCAATCCTCAGGTTTGCTTTGGGTTGTCACGATGTGACACGTACATAGCCCCAGACCAGTTTCGCCACTGGTCAGCTGCCTGGCAACCCAGGCTGGAACCTGCTCTGCAGGAATCACCCAATGCACTCAATTCCCAAAGCACTGAAGGTATTCGAAGGTGAGAATGACAGCTGCAAAGGGTAGCTGGAACAAGATTGTAGGGAGGTACGACGAATAAAATTCAAAACCATGGCATCGCCACCATGGATCATTGACGCCAAGTCGGCTGATATCGTCAGCCCAGTTGCTCTTGCTCTGGACGTACTCCCAATATCCTTGGGCTCGCAGTGCAAACAGAGCTAGATGGATCAAATGACCTAGCTTCGCTAAGTCGGCATTGCTAGAACGTCCTCTCACTAGCGTCATGACGGCTGCTACGTTGTCCAAAAACCATAGGCCGTGTCGGTTTCGAAACAGATCAGGCCTTTCGACAAGGGCGTAGAGCACCATAGATAGTTCCAGTTGGGCGATATGCGTCTCTGCAGGTTGCCAAAGTGTTCGGAGCTCTGCACAGTTGGTCGCGACAAAACTGTGACGAATTTGTGATCCGTCAGGCTGGAAAAAGATCAGGTGAAAACCTCCTGAACCAGGATTGTCTGCTTCGACAGCTGCGTCGGAGGCTGCCAAAAATCGCAGATGATCCAGGTGCAGAACGGGAAATTCCCGCTTTGGCTGAAAGCGCATAACCGCTTCGATCACCTCGAAGCATGCTTCAATCTCGGGAGTGATGGTCGAGGTTGTTTCGTCTTGCCTGGCTTTGATGGCCATGAGGCCGCCATATCCCACTCGACCGTAGATGCCCTGTTCCAGGAAATTGGCCAAGCCGTACAGCTTCGATGCTGCCCCTCGGCTAAAATGGCCAGTCACCCTGGCTGTTGCCAACATGTCACGTACTTTGTCATGGAGCCGTTCTCGAGCCCAAAACTGTACGTGCCCTGTTTGGTTGATGGAGCTGAGATCATGAGTCAATCCCAAAAAGGTTCCGGTGCTCTGCATTGGTTGTTTCTTGTCCTCTGCGAAGGGGGAGCCGATAAGAGAACACAATTGATTCATGGCCCATTGGCCTGACCCTTTTGAGGATTGCAAGTCTGTGATGGTCGCATCATCAAAGTACAGGGATGTCAAAACTCGGCAAAAACGCCTGGCTAGTGCCTCCAATAGTCTGGAAAAACGGTTGAATGATGTAACCGCCAGCGGCAGTCCGAAGAGTAGCCCAGCGTAGACTTGGTATGCAGGGGTTTGCCATTCGTGATGGTACCACACCACCACGCAGCCCAGACTTTCCTGCAATGCCATAGGGCAATACCTGTATGCTGAAGGCAGATCTTCTTGTCCTGTTTCCCAGGCATCGTTCTCGAAGAAATCGGCCATCTCATCCTCTGTCCAACGATGCATTGCAAGGCGAATGTGCTGGGCAGGGACGCAATGGACTGCACAATGTGAGCTTGTTAGCATCAGACGACAAGGCTGATTGTCCTCCGGTGTCCCCATTGTCGATCACACGCTGCTTGCCTGAGCTCTGTGTGATCACGCAACGCGGGATCAATCGATGGGCCTTGTCGCCAATGGCCCGCAGGAAATCTGTCCGTCGCAAGGGCTCGGTGCAGAAACCATTCGCTGCGTCCTCCAATGACTGCTGCAGGAGGAACTCATCATCCTTGCCTGCTCTCAGCTGGCCCAAGATGTGCTGATTGTGTTCCTGCCATCCCTCCAACACATCTGCCATGCTGATCACCTCAGCTGGCTGTTGGGGGAATATCCCATAAGGTGGTGCGTAGCCCACTGCAGGCAGCCCACGGATCAGCCCATAGGGAAAGCTGGTGTCTGCCCAGGATGTCACCAGCATCAGCAATGCGATGAGCCCCACATCGCGGTGCCGTGTTACCTGCTGGACGGCCGGCTCCTGGAAGGATCGCAAGTGGAGGGTCACCCCCTCCCAGCGTCTCTTCAGCTCTCGCATGGCCCCGACTGCCTGCTGTCGCCACGGGCGCAACTGCTGGCCATGTGCCACATAGGCATCTGCTACGAACTCCAGGTCTAAGTCGACGACTGGGAGGTCTTCGTAGGGCAACGGGTGCTGGGCTCGTTGGACTGCTTGGTTGAAATGGTCCTCAGGATCCAAGTTGAACGGCAGCAGTGGGGGCAAAGCGGCACGGTGTGTCATCGCACCCACTTGGCACCCGTCCCCAATCCGTGCAAGCTGCCTCACTGACCCGGCAGCCAGATGCGGGACTAGGGGCCCGTCCCAAGCTTCTCCTCGCTCTGCAAGCCAGGTGGCATATGAGCAGAAGGGCGGGCTGTTGATGAGGTCTTCAATCATTGCAAACTTGTAGTTTTTAAACCAGTGCTCGGGGAAAAGCTTTTGGAATGCCAATACCAGTGCTTCTTGGCTCATCATGGGTAGGGCTACCCCCCTGGGGATAGCCTGGATCCCTTGCAACAATGCCACAGTCCTACTCCATCGGCCATCGGTGCCCCGCTGCATTGGGTCACCCCCAGGGGCGGTGGCATCGAAGAAGAGGCCAATGAGCATGTCCGCTTCGCACAGGTGCTCCATGGGGCAGTCGCACGCCAGCTCCATATTGCTAAGCTCATGCAAGGCGTCCCACAAAGGTGATGTTCGAATATGGACAATGTACCTAGCCGGCCATTCACCGGCTTCGCAGTTGTGGCCCGGTGTCCATGGCGATTTCCACTTGGTCGTCGATAGGCGATGATGAAAGCTGCCTCGGCCGACGTAGATGGTCTTGCGTGGTAGCTTGTTGTTCTCGATCATCACCTCCTTGACGAGCCTTCGGACCGGTAACCCCGATCGTTCAGCCCGCAAGGATTCTGTGAGGCCCAGCGTCACCGCCAGTGGTGCCATTGCCCACTCCCGCATTGCACGCGGGTCCATATCCAGCCAATGTTCACGGCGTCCGACTGACAGGAACGTGGGCATGCGTGGGACATGCAGGACGGCTAGACCTGTGCGGACTGCCCACCAACTAGCCGACACTGCAATGGCAAAGGCAAGGACTGCTGTGTACTCTGCCTCTTCTTTGGATGGGTAAAACCGCTGGCCGTCGGAGGTGTAGGGGGTCCATTCCTGTGGGTCGTGCACATGGTGGCAATCCTCCACATTGTGTCGTAGCACTTGATGCTTGCAACGCGCCCCACCCAAAGTACATGCCGCGTAGGCTGTGTCGAACCATTGTCCCGATTCCCACATAGTCACCTCTGTGGACGTCCACCAGTGCAAGGAACGGGCAGGGTTTTCACGCACACTGCCTCCCCCCCTATCCCGCAACTTCTGAATTTCTCCCAAGACATAGTTGCAGGCTTTGTTGTCAAGGTCGACTCTTTGGGCATCCCGGCTGTTGAGGTGAGGCAGGCCATCAGGGTAGACCTCGGATCGAAGAGGACCAGGGGCTGGCCGCCCGTCTTCAAACTTCCTGGGGATCTCCCTGGCCCTGCTCTTTGTCGAACAGTCGATAGCTGCCGCTATGAAGATCACCTCTTCAAGCTGTTTGCTCAGGGATTGTTGCCGGCGCTCATCTGACAGGTCATGGCTGTCATCCAACAACCAATCCACTGTAATGCATTGCCACCCGCAACTGATGAATGCTTTGGTGAGGGGTGCGTTGGGACCTGCCATGAGATCTGCCATAAGAGGTCGCCCCTCTTGCGGCTCTAGCTCATCTGACCCAAAAGAGGCAGCCGCCTCCTCTTCTGGGGCGTGTCAACGCTTACCAGTGCAATTGGCTGCACCGTGGTTGAACGCTCCACATACCCGATCTTTCCTGACAACTGCTCCGCATCGATGGGCTCCCTGAGGACATGGTTTGGCCTTGCAGCCGCCTCGTTGAAATTGCGGGCAAAGTTTGGTACCATCCTTCATTGCCGTCGCCACGGGTTTGCCATTGATCGGCTTGCCCAACTTCAAGGGTGATGTGCTTGGCGGCACCTTAGATGGACTTGCAGTAGAGGCTGCGGTGGGGGCTGCACTCTTCCTGTCCGGGGTAGCAGGCCCTGGTGCAGACCAATGTGCGTCCCTGGACGTGTAGATCTCGCTGATCACCTGTCCCAAGCTCATCGTAGACTCACGAAATTTGGACACCCACTCACTGCGTTCCTCCACGTCTTTGGCCTGGAGCCATTGCATGCGCTGTGATGTAGGCAAACTTGCCACACTGCGCTTGGCTCTGAAGTAGTACTTGTAGACGATGTCCATGGGGACGTTGACAAACTTGACTGTATCGGCTCCTAAGTTGAGCTCTTG